CATTGCATTAAATATATAATTTTAATACAAGTGTGTTCTGTACATTATAGACACCAAAAATAACGTTATCAAAATAATAAGATGAGTCTTGAATGCGCTCCATCTTCTCAAAAGCTGGCCTCGGTACCTGTCTACTGACGACCTGAGAATACAAGTTATTTTGAAAGAGTTTATCAGCATTAAGCTGGTGAGTTCATAAGTATTTTTGTGTCGGTATTTGTTATCCAAATGTTTGAACATGTATAAAGTATAAGTTTGTAAAATGTACGTAAAGGTTTGCAATTATTTGTAAAAGTTTGAATCTCTCAGAAAAAAACCTATATTTTCTATTAAAGTAGCCTTCTACCAAGGCTTAACTGTTTTGTATGCTCATTTGATGTAAAAGTGTGTAATTTCCCAAATGTAACTATCATTTAACAAAATATAGTTGTACATAAACGTTTAAGTGAGGTTATCACTAAAAATATGTAATGGGTAAATTATTGTAGTACTGTAGCCTTGTATTATAAGAACTACTGTTGTACTAACTACCTTAAACCGGATTTATATTAAGGCATTACGTGATAAATTGCACCATACTATCGACTAGTAACAACGACAAATGAATGGTCGTAATAACGGAATGACGTTTGGCACCCGCAGACCTGCAGGTCCGGCTGTAGCTAGCAGCAAGGTGTAGGATTGTCAATCCAGTATAGATCTATACGCAAACTCACGCTCTCCCTTCAAGAGAATTCTGGCTACAACTCGAGCCATGACAGTTAAGTCATGCTCCGATTTAAATCACAATAATAAAGTATTCATGTATATGTACTGTTTCTCGTTCTAGTATATGTATATGTATTGTTTCTAGCATCATTGTACATGTATTGTTTCTAGTATATGTATATGTATTGTTTCTAGCATCATTGTATAAGTATTGTTCTATATATGTTTGTATTGTTTCTAGCATCATTGTATATGTATTGTTTCTAGTATATGTATATGTATTGTTTTAGCATCATTGTATATGTATTGTTTCTAGTATATTGTATATGTATATGTATTGTGTTACCTCGATGGTAACTAACTATTGATGTACTGATAAATATGAATATGGAAGTACTTTTATGTCTATACATGTATATATGATATATAACTAATGTTGAAACGACCTTCGGATGGTCACCCGAAATCCCACCAGACCACATCTCAGTGCGCGAAAAGGAAATAGGGCGGATGGCCTTCCTAAGCCCTTTAAACATTACTTATATATATATATATACATATATGGTCATGCAATTTATAAGAAGTAAAACAAAGTTTAATAAAAGCATTTGATAAGTAAAAAGAGTTTGTAAAACATTTGAAGTGAAACAGTTTGATAAACAGTTTGAACATTGAAAAAAAATCGTTGTTTTCCTAGTTATTAATCACATGTGATTAAATGCAATCACATGTGATTGAAGCAATAACTATAAGTATTTGACTTGTATTCCCCCCCCCCCATAAAGTATTTAAAACATTTAAAATCATTTCAAAGGTTGATTCAAGGGGTATGAACTCACTTGTGGTGAGTCGTTTGAATTGCAGTGTCGGATACCATGCTAAGTGTCAAACGGACACTTGTTTACACGTTCGAGCCTAGTTATCATATAATAAGCATGTATATAACCAATTAGCCACATAATAACTTAAATAAATAAGTTAAGACACTTAGGAAACATGTAAACACTTTTATGAGTGTTTAAGGTTCAAATGGTTGCATCTAAGTTGCTACGGGACAAGGCAAAAGGGTTTGAAACATCAAATGGCCTTGCATAGGAGTTCACCACCCAACAAACCCACACCTTGGAGTTTACGGCCGTAAACTCATGGGTTTATGGCCGTGAACTCCTCAAAGGGTGGTCTTGGGTGTTTTATGGTGCTATCTTGATCCTAGAACACTCCTAGCTTTGTTGGAATAACCATGAAGTAGTTTAAGGCTCTAGAATACCCCATAGTGGAGTTTTCGGCCTAAAGTCCATTCACCCTAGAGTTTACAGGCCGTAAACTCCTATGGGGTGATGGCTTTTAATTGTTTTGAGGCTCTTACACATCAAGGATGGCTTCCATGAATTTATCTAAGGCTAATGGGGACAAGAGGCACACTTTTGTGCCTTCACTTGGAGTTTACGGCCCAAGATATGTTCCTTGGCCGTAAACTCCTTTCAAGGAGTGATTTTTATGTGTTCTACTCTCCATTCTAGTCCCAAGTACTCAAGGTAAATTGTCTTAAGGCCTAAGGTGTGCTTGGAATGATTTTTACCCTTAGAAAAGGGGTTTACGGCCCAAGATCCTTCCTTGGCCGTAAACTCCTATAATTCTATCATTTTGAAGTGTTTTGAAGTCCAAACTAAGCAAAGTATTAGTGGTTAAAGTCCTTAGGCTCAAGGAGGCAAGTTAGGGCATGTTTGACCCTTAAAAAGGGGTTTACGGCCCAAGAAAGTTCCTTGGCCGTAAACTCCTCTAGCTTGTTGATTTTGGATGCTTTCTAGTCTATAAAGATCATACACAAGGTCCTTTACACGTTGTCTAACACGGAATCGGGACTAGGAAGCCTTAAAGTTCCATTTTGGAGTTTACTCCCCAAGAACGTTCTTGGGCGGTAAACTCACGGATCTTGTATTTTGGACATGTAATTGATGTTATAAAGCATATAACAAGTATTAAAACACGTTTAGGAAAGTAGACTCACAATCTGGGATGAAAACCCGAAGATCCGTCAGAGAGAATTGGCTTTTCTCTAGTTGGAATTGTGAATAATGAATTAATTAAATTCAGTTAATGGAAGTAACTTATGGGAAGTAACTTATGATCAAAATATACTCCTAGTTAATGGAAGTAACTTATGGGAAGAAACAAGTTACACTAGTGTTAAAAGAAGAAGACATGTTTCAGAAAATCAAGACAAGTACTCTCAAGTGTCAAGCAAGGGTAGAACTATCTAGTATAAAAATTGTCTACAAAGGGGACACAATAAAACATCATGCAAGAATCCTAAAGTGGTTCCTGAACCTCAACCTAAATAAAAAATGGGTAGGCCTAGGTTGGAACCTGATTTGCATAATTGGTCAAGAACTAAAAGAGAATGTAGAGGTGGTAGAAGGGCTGGTGTAGGAAGAAGTAGAGGTGGTGGTAGGGGATCTAGTGGAAGAGGAAATATAGGTAGTGGTAGGGGATCTGGTGAAGGATTCTAAACAGAATATGGGGAGGGTACTTCTGAGTTTCCTAAATGTGAGCCTGAACATGTAGTCATTCCAAATGTTGAGAGTGAAAATGATGTAAGTCCAGATTTTCACAATCATATAAGCTTAACCATTGACAACCTAAGGAAATCTTTTTACATTACAGAAGAGATCATGGACTGTCTTGGACCCAATGAAGCAGAATTACAACAAATTAAAGGTCTTGGATTGAGTGAACCAGAATTACGACAAATTGAAGGTCTTGGATTGAGTAAAGCAGAAGTATAACAAACTGAAGATGTGGATGTTGCTATGTCACAAGTATGATTTCTCATTATTCATTTTGTGATGTTAAATCTTGCTAACTGGCCTTTTTGTTATGCTTATTACAGGATGTTGGAATTGCTAGCCAAATAACAATTGAAGAACTCCCTACAACTCAAGCACTTGGAGATGAGGAAAGGATGAATGAGGATGATGACTAGAGATGGCAAAAAACCCCGTACCCAACGGGTGCCCGAAACCCTAACCCGAGTTGACCGGGTAAATCCCCGAGTTGACCGGGGATGGGTATTACCCGAATATAAAAAGCGGGGATAGGGATGGGGATGGTTTTACCTATCGGGTACCCATACCCGTACCCGAAACTGGCCCCGATGGGTACCGGATATCAAATGTTCATTAGACAAAATAAGGTTTTCTAACAATCAAACGTATGGTTTTTGGAAGACTTTTTATGTCTTTTTTTTGCAAAGAATGATTTAATATAACCTTGAATGGTATTGTTCGTGTTTGAAGACATTTAGTGATTATAATGTTATATATTACTTCTGTTAGTTTTTGTTTTGTTGGTTAACATATAATTATGAGTAATTTTTCATAAAAGTTCAAAACTTTGTAACGGGGAAAAATCTCCGATTACCCATTGGGGATCCCCGATACCCATTGGGGATGGGGATGGGGATAGATTTTTAATCCCCGATGGGGATGGGGATTTGGGTATGGGGATGGGGAACACGAAAACCGGTATACTCGTACCCATTGCCATCCCTAATGATGACATAGATGAGACGGGGATGGGTAAGGTAATGATGAATGAGGAAAGGATGGATGGTGAGAGAGAAATACCTTTCACATAACAATTGAATCAGCTCAGAAGGAGCCCTATAAAGAGGAGCAAAGTGAATCAAGTCAGAAGGAGGAAGCCTTCAGAAAGGATAACAAAGATCAAGTTGCAAAAGGTGGTTGTTGTCAAGAATGAAAAGGGGATGAGTTCATCTAACTCCCTTAGTCTAGAATAAGGTGTTTCTAATCCCTACTTTTGTTAAGAAAATGTATAAAACTTTTGGGTTGGAGCAAATGTTGATATCCCTTTTTGTTGATAAGCCTCTACTGTTGATAGCCCCTTTTGTTGACAACCATATAAACTATAGGTTTTGGGCCCCTAACAAAACACAAAAGAAACCACAGAGACATAAACAATGATTTCCATCTTTCTCCTTCCACTGCTTGTTGTGCCATTGGTTGTCCGCAACGTCTCCAAAAAAGTTCCCAGCTGGTCGTTCTTGCCTAAACTCCCCAAATATTTGATGGTTCTTCAAATTGACGTTATTGTGTAATACTAATAACAGATCTGCATACCACTGGTTTGGTAGAGGAGGATGCACCCAACGAAAGTACTTGCAATCTTTGAGTCCATTATGGTACTTTGGGCATCCTATAAACCTTCTTCCTGGATTTAACGGAATCCATGAAGTCTATCTTCCTACAAGATCACCACAATAGCACCTCTTTCTAAGACAATTCATTGAAGATGAAGAAGACATTTGTCTTGGTCCTCCACTGCTCTTGCTTCAATCGTTGTCTGCTAGGGCACGAATGAAATTTTCCACTATATTTAAACTTTAAAACAAAGATATTAAATGACTCACCAACCACCTCTGCAACTCCTTGCCACATAAACAATTTTATCCGGCTAAATGAAGATCCCCAGTAAAATAGGGCCGGAATGTTCAATTTATCCGGTTTCCAGAGTTTTTTTTTCAAAGAAAACATCAGGAAAAAAGTGTAACTTTTCTCAAAAATTTAGGATTCTTTTTAAGATTTCCCTTTAGATAAAACAAAAATTAGGCTATATATGTAATTTCCTCATGTTTTTACATTCTTGTTTCAGTGTCTGTTACTATTTTGATTTTCGTTTATCTTGCGATATTTATGAGAACGAGGTTTTACGTCCAAGGGGTGGCAAGAAAAGCAAGAAGAATAAAAGTGTTGTTCGACTTTTTGCATAATTTATAAAGCAAAAGTGGCGAGCAATAATGGTGCAAAAACTGAATTCTCCTCAACACCCGCATACCACTTTCCTTCACCATATCAAATTCATCCACCATCGCCGAATAACCAAATATATACCCCTAAAAATCCTCAAAAACACCAAAGGATAATCAAATTGCTACTGTTCTCCTACCTTCCATCGCTAAATTCATACATACAAACATACCCAAAACCTCTTTTATACCCTAACAAAACCCGGGTGATAATTCGTTTCGCGGGAAGGGTTTCAAGTTTATCGATCAGGGTTTCAACTTTCAAGGAGTTGTGGTGGGAAAGGTCCAGAATTGGCGGGAATCCTGTTGAGTAATTGCATGCCGAATTAATAGGATTTCTTTTTTAATGGCGAATCCATCTGGAAACGGGACGCATAATAACGACGCGGCTCACCCGAGTCACAACGGCGGCAGTTCGGTGCCGGAGCCGGCGTTGCAGCAGAATCCTGGCGTTTCTGTTGATTGGACTCCCGATGAACAGTCAATTTTGGAAGATGGTCTTGCCCAGTAAGTTTCTTTTTATGTACTTTTTTAAAAAAATGGCTTAAGTCAGTTTAATGTTGTGAGCATTTAGGGTTTGGTTAAATTTTTTCTTGTAAAGGGAAAATCTTTGTATAAATAGGAAAAAAGTTTGATTTAAATTTAATTTTGTGGGCATTTAGGGCTTTAATCAAACATGAAAGTGATCACGAATAATTAAAAAAATATCATTACCATTGGGAAGTGCAATTTCTAATGGATAATGTCTGCCTTCATTGTGCTTTTCAACATGTGGTTTAAAATATATCTGAAACAAGTCCTTAATAATTTTTTTAATTAACCTACTTAGGTCAACAAGACATCTTATATACCATGGATGTGGATAAATTAATATTTTCTTATGATTTCTTTAAAAATAAGGTTATGCCCCTATAATTAGTGTCATTTGATATGATATGCCATTAATAATGAGTGTTTTTTCCCCTTCAAAAAAAATACAAAAAAAACCCTTAAGGTCTTAGAAATTAAAAATGCCATTTGAAAATTTATTTGGGTTTATAAATTGTAACTTCCATAATTAAGTCTAAACAATTTTCTTTCAAATTTATGTAAACTTTGAAGGGTCAAGTTGGGCAGGGGAAAAATAGATGGGTCAACCCGTTTATCTAATAGGCTGTTGGGTTAAAAATCTAGCCGTTTAGTAATTAAACAGTTGGGTTAGGTTTGAAATTTTTAACCCGTTTAGTTAAACAAGTCGACCCAACCCGGTCCATGACCCATCGCCAGCTATATAAATCGTTCTTTCTGTATTACACAATGTTAATGTTAATATCCCCCTCCAATTCAAATATCGAGATCAAACATCTGAATCCAAATTTCAGATTTAACAAACTGTTTCGAGTATTAACTTTTATATAAAAATTCAGGTATGCATCTGAATCAAACATCATCCGGTATGCAAAGATTGCTGTGCAATTACAAAACAAGACTGTGCGGGAAGTGGCTTTGCGATGCAGATGGATGTTCGTAAGTTCAATAAATTCAATTTTGATTTTCCTTAATTGCGCATGCATTTCCTACATTTTATCATCGATCAATTGCACTACATTAACTATGTATTTATTGACACAATGTGCTAATTAGGCAACCATTGAGATTCTACACATTGGTAACTATCCTTTCTAGTTGTTTGTTTTTAGGCAAACGATAGTTTTATACGATCATTGTCTATATTTGTACAAACAAACAGATTGATTTTTTATATTTAGGTAAAATGCAATATGTTATGTTCATTCAAAATAACATCTCTCTGCCTATGTTAATCTCAAAAGTTGATATTTAATTTATTCTTTTTGATCTGATTCTGTATTAACAGAAACGGAATATTGGCAAAAGAAGTAAAGAAGATTACATCTTGACAAGGAAAAGTAAAGATAGAAAGGTAAGCTTTGTATTTCATAATCTCTTTCTCTTGTGATGCTTTTTGGTTACATGCTTGTATATTTTATTTACATTTGTATGTTTTAGTAATGTCAAATTCCAGGATATTTTATTTATATTTCTGACTTACCTGATACTGTTCGACAATTGGCATACAAATACCTGTTCTTATTCTGAAAGTTTAAGGAAATTTGTATAAAAATATCGATTTTCCTTTTTACAGGAAATAATGAATGATCATTTGCCAAGTACATCTCATTTACAAACTCAAAGTGGGTCGTCTTCATATGCTCCAGAAGTGGTGGGAAATGGACATCAAAATGATATAATTTACAGTGGTTAGTTGACTTGACTTCTTTCTTTGACTCTTATTATTGTATCTTAATTTTGAAGCCATTTTAATCATAGAACGTAACCTTTGGGTAATTTGTGTAAAACACTAATGTACTTTCCATTAGTAGCAATGTACTTTACATTTTCTACTATATTTTAGCATTTTCTAACCTTATTATACTGCTTACAGTTCTTGCCAGTCCAGCTGGACAACTTCTTAAGGAAAGTGCAAAAGCTCTAGAGCAGATTTCTGCAAATTTTGAGACTCATCAGGTAAGTCATCCTAAGGTTCAACTATTTTCATTTAGAGTAAATTACTGAAATCATCCCTATGGTTTGGTCAAAATTACACGTTTGGTCCCTAACTTTTTTTAGCACTCGGATCGTCCGTGTGGTTTGATTTTCTTGCGTTTTTCGTCCCTTACATACATAAAGTTAGGGACCAAACGTGCAATTTTGACCAAACCATTGGGACGAAAAACGCAATAAAATCAAACCACAGGGACAATCCGAGTGCAAAAAAAAATTAGGTACCAAACGTGTAGTTTTGACAAAACCATAGGGACGATTTCAGTAATTTTACTCTTTTATTTACTTGTTTATTATAAAATCATACTTTGAAATCTTCCTATTACAACATTGTAATAGGAAGTAGCAACATATTTTGATTTCTTCCAATTACAACATTGTATTTTGCAAAATCTGTGCAATTATAGCAAATGTCATTCTATAATTATATAACTTTATCAAAATATGGTCTATGTATTCTTATTGACCTTGCAACAGGTACTTGAGAATATCAGTCTCCTTTACCAAGTTCAAAAAAACATTCGACATATCTTGAACAAGTAACTTTTCCTCCTTTTGGAATTGTAATTTTTGTATATAATTTTTTTTTTTTTTTT